ACTACTACTACTACTACTAATACTACTACTACTGCTATTACTACTACTGCGACTACTACCACTACGACTACTACTACTACTACTACTACTACTACTACTACTACTACTACTACCACTACTACTACTACTACTACTACTACTACTACTACTACTACTACTACTACTACTACTACTACTACTACTACTACTACTACTACTACTACTACTACTACTACTACTACTACTACAGCTGCTGCTGATGATGCTTTCCCTTCCCATCCTCCGCCTCTCTTCCCTGGCCCTTTCCCTCATTCGCGTCCTGTTCCCCCTCCCCCACAACGGACCCGCTCGCATATCCAGGCGGCATCCGGCAGCAGTTTTCGCAGCCAGTGAACATCCAGCTGTCCATGTACGGTCCGTGTGGGTATCCTGCAGTCGTCGTCGCCATGTCATCCCCGCGTCTCTGGTTAGGCTTCCTCGCCGCTTGTTGATTCAGTCTTCTTCCACCTTCTCCTCCTCATAATCCCCATCGTCCGCCTATCCCTCCACCTGCCCCTCCTTCACTTCCTTTTGCTCGAATGCCTGCTCGTTCTGCTGCGGTGGCTACTCCTCCTCCCCTCCACTTCCCCAGCATCTCACCGCATGCCTCCCTTTCGAAGGTTCTTGTATAGCCAGTGCTGGTCAGACACCTGGTGAGAGAATCGTCACCGAAAGGCCAAAATATAGTCCAGTCCGGCGGGTTACAGCCAGGACTTCTTCACAGAGAGACCCCAGCAGTCACCCCACAGCGGAATTGTTTGGCGAACTGTCAGTCCTTGCGTAGAGCGCGGTCGCAAGACAAATGTGTTCGTGAGCGCCGTACTCGGGGCTCCTCTGTGGCATGAAGCGCGTGAGTGGCGCGCTGAAGCGAGCCCATGACGTCAGCGATCGCGCCACTTGGCGCTGTAGTTGGGGATCTTCTGAGGAGCACGAGGTGTGTCAGAGGTGTATTGACTTGAGCCCAGTACCAAAGTCGACCGCGCCTCTGGCGCCGTGTAATTTTCCAAATGGCTCTCTCGTCCAGTTCTTGCCATGTTCCTCGCGGCCTGCCAGTGGTCTCCCTCCGCGGCACCAGACTTGCCTTCGTCTTGCATGGTGGTTGCGCACACGAGGGGGGCGTGCGCGTTTCGCAAGGAGTTTGGTACAGTATAATCGAGTAGAATTAAGATAAGAATCCTAATAAAACTATAGAGTGAGGCAGTCGTGGAGATAAGTCGAGTAGAGCAGAGACGAGTGAGGGCAGAGTCAAATTTGTAGAGCTGGGCAGGACATAGTAGAGCCTAGTAGGGCACAGGTCAAGAAGAGTAGGGCAAATTCGAGCGAGTAGAATCGTGCGTAGTCGGCCAGAATCTGGGCTTACGTCGCACAGCCGACCCCTTGGGGCCGAGACACGGTGCCAGTACCAAGCGACGGATGGGGAGCCTTTCGGGGGCCCATTGGAGGCCTCATGCTTGATGTGCCCCTGGGGCTTCTTGGGGACTTCTGGGCGGTCTCTCGGGCTACCTTGGCCTCAAGGCACCTTCGCTTCCCCCTATTGGTGTCGTCTTGGGCTCTTTCTTGACCGTCTTATAGGGTTCGTGGGCCGGCTTATGGGCCCTCTTGGGTGGTCTGGGGGCTCTCTTGGCGGCTCGTGGGCCGTTTGGGGGCAGTGTTGGAGGCGTCGTAGGCTGTGTTGGACTCTGCGTGGACATAAATGGCGAAGGCGCTAAAAATGCACGCTTCTGGAAGGGAGTGCGACGATTTGTGCCTCTTGGGATCCTCTTGGAGCCCGCATGGGACGTTGTGGTTGCGCATTGGGCGTCGTGAAGCCATTTGAGGCCGTCTGTGAGCAAACGTGGGAGATTCGGAGACAATTTGGAGCAGTCCTGCGCCCATGTTGGCGCGTCTGACAGCCGTGTGGAGCTGCGCAAGACCTGATGACTCTGCCGGCCCAGTTGGCTGGACCCCCACCCCGAACCAGCCAGGCCGGGCTCCCAGGGGAGGAGTTGGGGTAGGGGTCAGCGAATCCCACCAGCCCTCTGGGCGCAGGTGGTCTAGGGCGTTTCCTTTTTCCACCTTCTTCTCCCTGCTCGGGAGATTTACCTCACCCCCTCTCTGGGTCTGGACGGCGGGGGCCCCGATGTATCAGAGAGTTTCTGTTTTCCCAAGATGCCTCGAAGAGGGCCCCAGAGACCCCAAGATGGCTCAAGATAGCTCAATATGGCTCATGATAACCTCCGACACGCATCCAAGAGGCCTCGAGACGGCCCCTGGAGGGTTCCAAGTGCCCTCCGAGCCCTCCGAGGACGCCCCCAAGAGGCCAAAAACTGACGAAAACCTAGGGAGAATCAATGTTTTTTGCGTTCTCGCTTTTTCGCCTCCGACGGGTTCTTGAGGCCTCAATCTGGCCCCAAGACGGCCCAAGAGAGCCCCAAGAGGGGCCCAAGAGGGCCCCAAGACGGCCCCAAGAGCGCCCAGGAGCGCTCCAAGACATCTTTTTTGAGCTTCCGAGGGGGCGATCCGCATTACAACCCTTTTTCCTGAACAACGCGGGCCAAGACGGCCCCAAGAGGCCTCCCAGACCCCCCAAAGAGCCCCAAGAGGGCTCCAAAGACCCTGCAATGACCCGGCAAAGACCCAGCAATGACTTTGCAAACACCTTGCATTATCTAACATCCTTCCCCCCCTGCTCGGGAGGTTTACCTCCCCCCCTCCCTAGGCGTGACTTATAGTAGCGTCCAAGATGGTCCAAGACGGTTCCAAGAGGGCCTCAGAAAGCAAAAAATGGCCTCCTCCTTTTCTTTTCACTTGTTCCTCCTCCTCCTCCTCCTTCTCCTCCTCCTCCTCCTCCTCCTCCTCCTCCACCTCCTCCTCCTCCTCCTCCTCCTCCTCTTCTTTCTCCTCCTACCCCCAACATGGCCCCAGCAGCAGCACCACCACCAGCAGGAGCACCACAAGCAGCAGCACCTGCAGCAGCAGCAGCAGCAGCAGCAGCAGCAGCAGCACCAGCAACAGCAACAGCAGCAACAGCATCTACAGCGGCAGCACCAGCAGCAACATCAGCAGCAGCACCGGCAGCAATACCAGCACCTGAGAAATGTCTAAACGCACGCGAGCTTAAGATACAATTCAGTGCAAGGGCTAAGACCAAAGATACCCATCGAGATGCGATTCTAATATGCGCAACATTGGCGTCGGATCTTAGATACAGCAACCTGCGCCAGAGACGCTTACCACGGGGAACACCATGGCGCATCTTGCATTGATATCTGTCTCAAACTTAGCTGCGCGAAGGTATTTGTGGTTTTTGTTTTCTGGCCCAGGGCACTGTCCACCCAGCTTTGACGCTTCCAAAACGGCTGTGCGACCGCCTGCTTCCAGGTGTCCCTGATTAATCAACTCACCTCGTAATCGTTTCTAGCTGGGCTGGTGGGGATACTTGTTGGTCGCAGCCGCAAGCGAAGGCGCAGGCGGCGTTAAGGGTCGAGCTGGTGGGGATACTTTTTCCGTCGCGTCCGCGAGCGAAGAGCGCAGGCGGAGACAGAAGCTGTCCGGGGCACGCAAACAGACCTAATTAGCTGCAGGGCGCGGAACAGGCCGGCCGGGCCAGCTCACAAGGCGGCCGCTGGGGCAGCAGGGCGAGGGCTGACTGGCTGAAGCACCCAGGGGAGCAAAATGCCAGGGAATTCGGTGTACGCCCTGCGGCGTGGACCACTCAGTGAAGGCGAGAACGTAGGTGAGCTTCCTGCCCACACCCCTCTCACGCCTGGTGGCCGCGAAGGCGAGGTAAACGATGGTCGAGTCGAGCGGGGCGCCACGGGCCAAGACCGTGCCAACGGCGTATACCAGCCAAGTGAGCTGAGCAAGACCGAGATGACGGCGTAAACCTGCCTGAACGGCTGGGAAGGGGCCAGGATGGAGCACGGCGTGAGACGGAAGGCTGAACCATTCCGAGGCGACCGCGAGACTCCCGGATCCCACCAATCCCGAGCACGGACAAGGGCCGGCCTTGTGGAGAGCCCTGCGGGCCCAGCCCATGTCACACGCCTGTCAAGGCGTGGTGAGGTGGCCAGACTGGCGGGGATGAACATCGCCAGCGTGGCTGAAGAGGGCACCAGGCGAAATGGAAGCGCCGCGTCCGGCGGAAGGATGGACCACTCCAAGACGCTTGGCGCCATCCAGGGAAACGCCACTCCCGAGCAGGGGCAACGGACTGGCCCGAGAGTGGGGCACCTGCGGGCTCGCCCCGTGGCCCCAGGGTCACGACGCGAGCGTCGTAGAGAACCGCGTATTGCGCGGAAGGGAAGCCGGACTGGCGGGGATGAACGTCGCCAGCGCAGCTGGAGAGTAGGCACCAGAGGGCGACAAAGCCAGGGGGCAATCACCCACGTGCGAAGCAGTGTCACGGGACCTGACGGGTCACCCTGCCCGTGCGGGACCCTCCCGCGGCGGGGGCGGCGGGGAAAGACATCACCAGCTGGCCACGTGGAGGGGCCCGCCGGGACGCCCAGCGCCAGGGGGGAGGGGGAGAGGGGCCAGAGCCAAGGCCAGTACTCCAGGGCGCAGCTAACGGCTGCCCAGGGCTGAGTTAAGACAGGTCCACGTCCAGTGGAACGCGGGGCCCAAGATCCAGGGATGCAGCGAACGGCTGCTCAGAGTTCGGTAAATGTCATGAGCGCCCACCCAGCAGGGGCGAAGTGTGGGCAGAGCTTCCCCCAGTGGAGCGCTGCCAACTATCGACCTGCTGGCCCCGGCGTCGGCGGCCTGCGTGCATCGCTGACATCTCCGCCCCTGCAAGTGTGCCGAGGCTACCAGGGGCGCAGCTAACGGCTGCTCAGTGACGAAGGACAACCAGGGGGCCCCGCTGCTGCGCTGGGAGGGGGGCTGTCCTGCATCGCCCTCGCCAACGGCACGACTGCAGCGCCGAGGAGCTGCCCGCCCCTGCCATTCGGCCGTCCAACCGTTTGGGCTAGACTGGTTCCCGCCAGTCGCCGACTGCGTGAAACCCTGGGGCCAGCGCTGGACCCTTCCCGCGCCTGTCCTGTCGGGAGGGAGGGTCGCCTGCGCCGGTGCGCGCCCAGGGGAGACGCCAGGGGCGTGGCGGGCGCCGTCTGCCTTCTCGAGCAGCTGCTTCCAGGGCGGCCGAGGCCTCTACAGTTACGAGTCCGATGCGCCGGCAGTCGGGGAGCAGGCGGGGGCCGTCTCTGAGCACGGGCCTGCCCTCTGCAGCACTCGGGCACGGGGAGGCGCGGGTGCCTCGATCGCCCGCGGAACCCCAAACGGACAGCCGGAGCCGCGAGGAGGGCAGGGGCACCGGGATGCAAGAGCACCTCGAGCCCCCGCGGACCCCTCCTCGCCAGGGGGCAACGGATGCTGCATCCGGGGATACGGGCGCT